GTCGACTCTGAGGATCCCGAGCGGACGACGCGGTGGGCGGGCGGGCGGGCGACCGAGCGCGCCGCGTGAACTGCCGCGCGGGCGAAGGTCTCGGAAGAAAATCTCGGCAGAGATCCCCGCGCCGAACCCGACGCCGCTGACCGGCCGGTCGGACGCGCGATGATGATGAGAGCGCCGCGATCGACGTGGCGCAACGTGCTTATCCTCGCGGTTCGAACAGAACCTCCGTCGAACCGCGCACACCGCAGGCGCGCGCTCGCACGTGCACCGCGCACACCTCGCGCGCGTTGGCGTCCGTGGGATTCGTTCCTCTTCCTCGGGAGAGGTTCTAGAAGCTTCGCGCGCGCGATAGACGCGGGCGCGTGCGGCAACGCGACGAGCGCGCGAGGTTTGGCGCTGCATTCGTCGCGTTCGCACGTGTGTCGTCGTCCGAGCGCTCGACTTTTACCATGATGACGTCGTCGTCCGCCGTCGCGAGCGCCGCGTCCGCCGCGACGCACGCGATGCGCGCCGCCGCGCGGCCGCGCGCGTCATCGCGCGGCGCGTCCTCCGCGCCGCGCCGCGCCGCCGTCGCGCCCGCCGTCCCCGGATCCGCGTCGTCGTCCCGCGACGACGGGATCGTGGTGCGTCGCCGAGCGATCGCGCTCCGTCGCCGATCGCCGATGACGCCTCATCCCGCGTTCCTGAGCCCGTTCGAGACCGCGGTCGCGGACGCGCCCGCCTCGGACGCCGCGTCCGCGAAGAAGAAGAAGACGAAGGGCGCGCTGCGACTGAGGATCGACGGCGAGTGGTACGACTGCACGGGCTGGGCGAAGGCGCACCCCGGCGGATCGCTCTTCATCACGCTCATGGACGGGTGCGACGCGACGGACGTCTTCTACGCGTTGCACTCGTACGGCCCGAACGGCGACGACCTCGCGGCGCGGCGGCTCGCGATGCTGCCGCGGTGCGACGGCCCGGAGGAGGAGGAGGAAGAGGAGGAGGAGGAGGAGGGAGGACGCGAGATTGCCGCGCCGTCGATCGTGCGCAATCCGAACCACACGATCGAGACCAAGCCGGGTAACGCGGACGCAAACTTCGCGACGCTGAGGAAGAAGTTCGAGGACGAGGGGTGGTTCGCGCGGGATCCGCTCAAGGAAGCGAGCGTCCTGTGCCAGGTGCTCGGTCTGTACGCGCTCGGGTGGTTCCTCGCGTGGACGCACCCGATCCTCGCGTCGCTGTCGTTGGGCCTCGGGATGCAGCAAGCCGGGTGGCTCGCGCACGATTACATCCACGGCCGCGGGAAGTGGTGCACGATGATGCGCGGGTTCGGATCCCTCACGAACGGGTTCAGCACGGAGTGGTGGCAGCACAAGCACAACATGCACCACTCGTTCACGAACATCGACGGGCGGGACGGGGACATCAAGCTCGAGCCGTTGTACTATCTCCAAGACCCGAAAGTCACCGGAAGGAACGATAACCCGGGGCTTCGAAAGTGGCAGCACTGGTACGGGTACCCGCTGTACGCCGCGACGTACGCGCTGTGGCGCCGGCACTCGATGGCGTCCGCGATCGCGAGACGAGACAAGAAGGAGCTGACGCTGCTGGGGATCCACTACGCGTGGCTCTTCCTGTGTCTCCCGTGGCAGGTCGCCGTCTCGTCCGTGTTGATCGGCGGCTTCCTCGTCGGGTCGCTGGTCACCGCGACGCACCAGACCGAGGAGATCATGTTCGAGCAGGGCGGCGAGTTCGTGGACATTCAGTTCCGGTCCACGCGCGAGGCGGACGTGAAGGGCCTGGAGGCGTGGCTGTGGGGCGGGATGGACACGCAGCTCGTGCATCACCTGTTCCCGACGATGCCGCGGTACCGACACCACGAGGCGCGGCCGGTGATTCGGAAGTGGGCGGAGGAGCACGGGTACGACTTTCGAATTTCGAGCTCGTGGGAGATCCTGAGTAAGAACTTCAACCACCTGAAGGAGCTCGCGCACATCTGATGAGCGCGCGTGCGTGCGATTGTTTATGTGAATTGTGTTTTAACAGTGAGAACGAAAAATCTTATTTTTTTTTTTTTTCGACGCGTCTCTCGGGTGGCGCCGTCGCCGCGCCGCGCCCCCCTCTCGTCTCGCGCGCGTCACTTCTTCCCCGACCCTTTCTTCCACGCGAGAATCATGAGGCCGATGTTCACCGCGTTCACGACGCCGACCGCCGCGGTGATCCCCTCCGCCGCGCGTTTGATCCACGCGCCGCCGATTGAAATCTTCTTGTGCGTGTACGTCACCGCCGTGTCCTTATCGCTGTACTGCCCTTTCCCTCGCAACAGCCACCTCGTCGTGAGCAACCCTTCCACGCCGACGGGCCCGCGCGCGTGTATGCGCGACGTGGAGATGCCAACCTCCGCGCCCAGACCGAACCGGAACCCGTCGCTGAACCGAGTGGACGCGTTGTGGAACACGCACGCGGAGTCCACCCTGCGTAAAAACTCCTCCGCGCGCGCCTTATCCTTCGTGATGATGCAGTCCGTGTGCGACGACCCGTTCGCGTGGATGTACTCGATCGCCTCGTCCATGGAGTCGACGATCTCCACGGTGAGCGCGAGGGTGCCGTACTCGTGTCGAAGCGCCGGGCACGGCGGCAGCGAGAGCTCTTTCGCCGCGCGCGCGCCGCCAAACTTCTCCACGCCCGCGGCGTCGAGCGCGGCGGCGACGCGCTCGTACCCCCCCCCCGCGCCGAGCTGCGACGAGTGCACGAGAAGCGTCTCCAGCGCGTTGCACGCGGCCGGGTAGTCGCACTTGCTGTCGACGCACAGCTTGCACGCCATGTCGATGTCCGCGTCCGGGTCTACGTACACGTGACACACGCCATCCGCGTGCCCGAGCACGGGGATCTTCGTGTTGTCTTGGATGTACGTCACGAGGTCGTTGCTCCCGCGCGGGATGACGAGGTCGACGACGTCGTTGAGCTTGAGGATGTCCGCGATCTCCGCGCGGCCTTCGACGAGGACGATCGCTTCTTTCGCGACGCCGAATTGCGGAAAGCACTCCACGATGACGCGATGCAGGATCGCGTTCGTCTTCGCCGCCTCCTTGCCGCCCTTGAGGAGGAGGCCGTTCCCGGACCGGATCGACAGCGCAGCGATCTGCGGCAGCGCGTCCGGGCGCGACTCGAAGATGATCAAGAGCACGCCGAGCGGCGCGGTGACCTGCTCGAGCATCAGCCCGTCCGCGAGTTCCATCTTCGACAGCGGGCGCACGAGGGGTTCCTCCATGCGCGCGATCTGACGCGCCCCCTCCGCGAGCTGCGCGATCTTCCCGGGCTTCATCTTCAGGCGGTTCATCAGCGCCGGCTCGGTGCCGTCCTCCGCGGCTTTCTTCAGGTCGAGCTCGTTCTCGCGCAGGATGGCGGGCTCGTTCGCCTCGAGCGCGTCCGCGATTCGGTTCAGGAGCTCCGCGCGCTCGTCGGACGACAGATTCTGGAGCTGGCGAGACGCCGCGCGCGCGGCGACAGCCTTCTCGCGCGTGGTGGACATCGCGCGGGTGCTACGTGTGCGCGAGCGGCGCGATCGACGCGCGGACGGTGCGCGTGAGAGACGCGCGCGTCGATGGTGTGCCGCGCACGCGTAAGGTCGAGTTGGTTACCCTAACCCTCGCAAAAAGGTCGGCTCGCAGAGGCGGTCTGAGCTTTTCCTCGGGAGGATAACGAGCGCGTCGATCCGGGCGGGGTCACACCCTCGACGCCGTTCCCCTCACTCCCCCCCCGCGATGGCGACCATCGCGACCGCTCGCACGATCGTCGTCCGCGCGCGCGCGCCCGGCGCGTCGATCGCGTCCAGCGACCGCGGCGTCGCGACGCCGGCGCGCGGCGTCGTCCGCCCGAACATCGTCGACGCGGCGACGCGTCAGCATCATCAGCAGTCTCGGAGCGGAGGGGGATCGCGGAGGCGCGCGCGCGCGGTCGTCGTCGCCTCCTCCTCCTCCTCCTCCTCCTCCTCCTCGGAAGACGACGCGCCCACCCGACGAGAGGCTGTCGCCGCCGCGCTCGCGGCGATCGCGCTCGCGACCGGCGGCGGCGCCGTCGCCCCGTCGGTCGCGCGCGCGGACTCGTTCGCGGCGGACATCGAGGCCGACCTTCCGCCGCCGCCCCCACCGCGCGTCCTCGTCGTCGGCGCGACCGGACAGACGGGCTCGCTCGTGGTGCGCGAGCTCAAGAAGCGCGGCGACGATATCGCCGTCGTCGCCGCGGTTCGCAGCGAAGAGAAGGCGGCGAAGATGGGCGTCGACGGCGGAAACGTCTCGCTCCTCGGCGGGTTCGACGTCACCGCCGACGCGTCGACGCTCGCGGCGGCGATGACCGGGATCGATAAGGTCATCGTCTGCACCGGGTTCGTCCCGGGGAATCCGTTCAAGATGTCCGCGGCGGCGCATTCGGTGGACAACGAGGGCGTGATCCACCTCGTGGACGCCGCGAAGGCGGCGGGGTGCGTTCTATACACTGGTTCCCATACGACCGCGTTCGCGTGGTGAACGCCGATCCTTAAGGACTTTGCCGTCGTCTCTCTCCGCCCACCCCCCGCTTTCAATACCCGCCCTCGGCGCCTTTCAACTTCAACTGACGCCTTTCAACTCTACCCCGACTTTCGCTTTGGACGCCGCGCCGCGAAGGGTGAAGCGGCTGGTGCTCGTGTCCTCCATCCTGACGGATGGGCGTGCGATGGGCGCGGAGGGGTCCCCGGGGTTTAAGATCACGAACGCGTTCGGCGGCGTCCTCGACGAGAAGCTCGTGGGGGAGAAGTACTTGCAGGGCAGCGGGCTGGAGTACGTCATCGTGAGGCCCGCGGGGCTGCGCGCGGATCCGCCGAAGACGCCGCTGGTGGTGACTCCGGGGAACGTCATGGCGAGCGGGGAGATCTCTCGAGAGCTCGTCGCCGCGTTCATGTCCGCGGCGGCGTTCTCGTCGAGCGCGAAGAATAAGATTTACGAGATCGCGGAGGAGGGGACGTTCGCTCCGGGGTACAGCCCGGACGGGGTGGAGAAGTTCATCGTCGGGGACGACCGCTCGAAGTGGTTCAAGCAGTAGTAGCGCGCGAGACGAAGTTAGTGTGCGATAATGAAAACCGCTCTCGATCGACGACAAAGTATTCTTGTTATCGAATCGACGCGCGCGCGGACTTCTGCTCGTCGTGGCGTCGCGATGATAGCGTCGGGCGCGCCCCGAGCGAGGTGTCGCTCTTTTCAGCGCGCGCCGTCATTCGCCGCCGGTCTCCCGGCGCCGTCGCCGTCGCGTTCGCTCCAACGCGCATCGGCCGCGCGCGCGTCGATCTCCCCAACGAGGTCAGGTGGTAAATAATGCGTTTCAGCCCGTTCTCGCCGTCTCCTCGCGCCGTCGCTTCTCCGCGACGAACGCCGCGTACGACGCGTCGAACGTCACCGCGTGCTCGATGATCGACCTGCCGAGATGTCGAATCGCGGCCGCCGCGACCTTCCCGTCCTCCTCCAGCGTCGTCGCCGCGGTCGTCGCCGACGCGACGAGCCGGTCGTGGTCCTTCGCGTGCGACGCCGCCGCGGAAAACGCACCCTCGCCGTCCGCGAAGCCCGACGCTCGCATCAGCGCCTCCTCGTGCGTCGCGTGCGTCGCGAACGCGCTCCCGAGCGAGAGCACGTCCCGCGGCGAGCGCGTCGCGAGCGCGGTCTTCAACAGCGCGTGCAGCTCGTCGTGCTCGTCGTCGACGACGTCGACGCCGACCGCTGGAATCTCGAAAGAGGCGGTCGCGTCGTCGTCGTCGTCGTCCAACGCGTGCGCGTCGCCTTTGCACGCGTGCTTCGAAAACCGCGCCACCTGTCTCGGCGGCGCCGTCGACGTCGCGTCGGGCGACGACGGCGACGCTCGCGTCGCGTCCGTCGCGGACGCGGACGCGGACGCGTCGGACGCGGACGACGCCTCCCCCGGCGCGAGGTTTCGCTCTGGCGTCCCCGGGGGGTCCATGTCCACGTCCACGTCGAGACGCGGCGCCTTCGCGGCGCGCCTCCGCGTCTCCGCCGCGGCGATCAGCGGCTCGAGCATCCGCTCCACCGCGTCGTACGCCGCCTCGCGGTGCTCGAGGTACGCCGGCGAGCGCAGCGTCGCGAATCGTCCGCGCGCGTCGACGACGACGAGACCTTGGCACCCGAGCTGGCACGGGAACCGTGGGAAGTCGTCGTCGTCGTCTACGAACCCGTTGACGACGCTCGTGCCGTCGAAGTACGAGCGCTGGAACTCGCGACCGACGCGCTCGGCCCGCCCGCCGCCCTCGACGCACACGGCCACGAACCGCACCTCGCGCGACGCGTACGCGCGCGTCGCCCAGTCGCGCAGCTGCCGCGCGACCGGGCGGCATCCGCCTCAGCCGCTGTTGTAGAAGTCGATAATCGCCGGCGTCCCTTGGACGAGGGAGGAGACCGGAAGACGCGCGATCGCGCCGTCGGCGCCGAAAGTCTTGACGTGAAAGTCCGGCATGTGCTTGCCCGTGAGGTCCATCTCGACGGAAGCGTCGAGCGCGGCGCGACGCGCGGGGTCGAACGCGGAAGGCTCCGAGAGGATCTCGCGCGCGGGAGAATGACGCGCTACGAGGACGCGCTTCCGAACGTTTCTTCTGAACGCGCTATTTTGCGCGCGCGTGATATTCTTTTTTATTTTCCAAGGAATCGCTGTTTCGTGTCGTATGTATATTCATTCATATTGTGTACTTTCGTATGTTGATCGACGTACTCATTTTCTCGCACGACGGGCACACGCCAGCACGCGCCGCCTTCAGAATTAGGGTCCAAACGTTACGAAGCGGGATTAATCATTCCCGGGCGTCACAACGCGACGTCGCACCCTCCCGACAGCACGCCCACCGCCGACGGCACCCCGCACCTCGACTTCTGTAATTCGCCATGCCCGAGGAGGTCAGCAAACCCGACACTCGCGTCCCCGTGACGGTGCTCACCGGGTACCTGGGTTCCGGAAAGACGACGCTCGTGAACCACATTCTCACGGACAAGTCGCACGGGAAAAAGATCGCGATCATCGAGAACGAGTTCGGCGACGTCGGCATCGACGACGCGCTCATGGCGAAGAACGCCAAGGCGCAGATCGAGGAGGAGATCGTCGAGATGATGAACGGCTGCATCTGCTGCACGGTCCGCCAGGATCTCGTCGTCGTTCTCAAGAAGTTCGCCGATCGCGTCGCCGCGGGGACGCTCAAGCTCGACGCGGTGCTCATCGAGACGACCGGCATGGCCGACCCCGCGCCCGTCGCGCAGACCTTCTTCGTGGACGACGAGGTGGAAAAGTTTTTCCGCCTCGACGGCATCGTCACGCTCGTCGACGCGAAGCACGTCGAGCAGCACCTCGACGACCCGAGGCCGGAGGGCGTGGAGAACGAGGCGGTCGAGCAGGTTGCGTTCGCGGATCGCATCATCCTCAACAAGACCGACCTCGTGAGCGAGGAGGACCTGGACCGCGTCGAGAAGAGGATCAAGACCATCAACTCCTCCGTGTCCATCGTGCGCACGTGCAAGAGCAAGGTGTCCACGGACTCCGTCCTCGATCTCCACGCGTTCGACTTGAAGAAGACCGTGGAGATGGACCCGGAGTTCTTGAACACCGAGAACGAGCACGAACACGACACGACGGTGAGCTCCCTCGCCGTCGTGGAAAAGCGACCGCTCGATCTGGACTCGATCCAGACGTGGGTGAACAATCTCATCGTCAACAAAGGTACGGATTTGTACCGCATGAAGGGCGTACTGAACATCGCGAACTGCCCCGTGAGGTTCATGTTCCAAGCCGTGCACATGATATTCAACGGAGAGTTCGACGAGCCGTGGGGGAAGGACGAGGTGCGTTCTATACACTGGTTCCCATACGACCGCGTCGGCGTGGTGAACGCCGATCCTTAAGGACTTTGCCAGGCGTCTCTCTGCGCCCACCCCTCGCTTTCAATCCCCGCCCTCGGCGCCTTTCAACTTCAACTGACGCCTTTCAACTCCACCCCGACGTTCGCTCGTATGGAACGACCCTAAGCCGCGCGAGAGCAAGTTCGTTTTCATCGGTAAAAACTTGGACCACAAGGAGCTGAGGAAAGGGTTCGAGGCGTGCATCATGACCCCGGAGCTCGCGGAGAACAAGCGAAGGTCGATCAGGTTCCAGATCGGCGAGAAGGTCCAGTGCAACACCCCCGACGGATGGCAGACGGGGACGGTGGTCGCGCACCAGTACCGCGAGGACGACTTCCCGCCCGGGATGACGGTGCCGTACCAGGTCGAGATCGACGGCGGCGGCCTCGTTTACGCGCCGTACGACGACGACGACTTCATTCGGGCGTCGCGCAAGTCTCCGAAGAGAGAGTGAACGCGACGCGACGTGACGTGACGTGCGCGAGGACGCGTGGACGCGGACGCGCGGGGGACCGTCGCGAGCGTGAAAAAGTTTTGATTACGAACTGAACGCGAGAGAACACTTTGTATTTAATTAAGTCGCTACCGCACGCCCGTTCCCGCCCGCCGTCGTCGCGACCAGGTCGTCCGTGACCCACCCACCCCGCTCGCGTCCTCCCGGCGGTCTCAGTCCGTGATGTTCTGCATCCCCCGGAGTTGATCGTTCGTGAGCTTGTTCCCCCACCCGCCTTTCCCGTCCCGCTGCGGCTTCACCTTGGCAGCCTCGTGCCGCGCCAGCTCCGGCGGCACCGCGTTCCCGCTGTTCGTCAAGAGCTCCTTCAGGTCGTACATCACGTCCGTGTCCTCTGAGGTTATGAACGACACCGCGGTGCCCTGCCGCCCCGCGCGCCCCGTCCGCCCGATCCTGTGCGTGTAATTCTCGATGACGAGCGGCATCTCGTAATTCACGACGAGGTCGATGTCCTTCACGTCGATGCCGCGTCCGGCGACGTCCGTCGCGACGAGGATGTCGTACTCCCCGGCTTTGAATCCCTTCAGCGAGTCCTCGCGCTGGTCTTGGCTCTTCCCGCCGTGGATGGACGCCACGGAGTAGCCCTGCTTCACGCACAGAGACTGGACGTGATCCACCGCGCGCTTCGTGTTCACGAAGACGATGGCCTGCGTGTCCGGGTACCGCGACAGCACGAGCTCGAGCTGCGTCTCTTTCGCGCCTCTCGTCATCCACATCACGACCTGTTTGATGAGGTCCGACGTCTTCCCCGCGCTGCCGATGTTCACGACCGCGGGGTTGCGCAGGTATTTCCTCGCGAGGCGCTCCACGGACGGCGGCATCGTCGCGCTGAACATGTACGTCATCCTGTACCGCGTCCCCGCGGCGCCGGCTTCCAACCCGCCGGCGTCGATCGTCTCCGCCTCGTCGATCGGCTTCAAGTTATCCGCGGACATGCTGTCCATGACGCTCATGACCTGCGGCTCGAACCCCATGTCGATCATTCGATCGGCCTCGTCTAGAACGATGTAGTTGCACTGCTGGAGCACCGTGTAGCGGCGCTCCAGGACGTCGATGACGCGTCCGGGGGTGCCGATGACGATTTCGCACCCGCGTCGGAGTTTGAACCCCTGGTCCTCGATGCTCTGCCCGCCGACGACGGACGTGACGCGGTAGTTTAAAAAGTGCGCGAACTTGGTCGTCTCCTCCTCGATCTGCTGCGCGAGCTCGCGCGTCGGCGCCATCACGAGCGCGTACGGTCCGTGCGCGGCGACTTCGTCCGTCATCACGGGTAACTCCATGATGTACGCGAGCATGGGCACGACGAACGCGCAGGTTTTCCCGGAGCCGGTCTCCGCGATGCCGATGACGTCGCGCTTTAACAGGCCGATGGGGATGGACGCCATCTGGATCGGGGACGGCTTCGCGTAGCCAACCTTTTGAATCGCGCGTAAAATTTTCTCCGGCAGCAAGGACGTTTCCTCCCAGCACCGCATCGGCATGGGCAGCCTTCCTCCTTTCGTAGTGATGCTAAAGTCCTCGCGGAAGATGCGCCAGTCCCTCTCGTTCATGTCCTCCAGTTTCTTATCCGACCAGTGCTCCGACTGCGTCTTCCTCTCCGCGCGCTCGTACGCTTCGTCGTCGCGTCGCTCTTTGTCCTCCGCCTCGCGTCGCTCGCGCGCGCTCATTGCGGTGCCGTGATCGCTTCGCGACTTGGATATCAACGACATCTGATGCGCGGAGTTTTCCTTTTTCTGCACCCTGCGATCCACGCCCGCGCGCAGCCCTCTCCCGAACGCGAGCGGCGCGTCGTACGTGCGGTCGTACAGCTCGTTCAAGTCCCGGCTCGTGTCCTCTTTCGATTCCCAGTCGAACTTGAACTTGAACTTGTCCGACGGCTTGGCGACTTTTTTCTTTTCCTTCTTCTGGCCCATGTACATGTTCTTGATGCTTTCGAGCTCCTTCTCGCGGTCGCGCTCCTGAAGTCGCGCGCGGCGTTCCTCGTCGCGTTTGCGTTCCTCCTCCCGGCGCTGGTCGCGCGCCCACTTGTTGACGTCGTGGGAGTGTCTGCCGTCGTCGCCGCCGCCGCCGCCGCCGCCGCGCGCGTTCGCGACTTCCTCCTGACGTCGCTTCAGCGCCGCGGCCTCGCGCTCTTTCCGCGAGATGAACGTCGGCTTCGCCTTTTCATCCGCCTCCGTCTTCTTCTTGTTCAGGAGCTCCTCCAGCGAGAGCGGCTGTTGGCGTGGGGGAGGCGGGAGGGTCAGACTCGGAGTCAGATTTAGGGTTGATTCGACGAGGGTGCCTTGTTCACGCCGCGGGGTCTCGTCGCTCCGACGACGCACCTCCGCTCGCTTCGCGGTCGCGGCGCCGCCGGCGTCGCGCTCCTCGTCCCTCGTATCCTTCCCGCGATCGTCGTCGCGCCGACGCGCGTCTCCTCTGTGCGCGTCGCGGCCGCCGCCGCCGTACGGATGATGCCTCCCTCCGTCGCGATCGCGCGAGCGATCTCGCCCGCTCCCGCCGCGGTCGACGCCTCCGCCGCCGCCGCCGCCGCGATGGTCGTCCCGTCGGTCGTTCCCGCGGCCGCCGTCTCTGCGATCGTCCCATCGGCCGCGGTCGCGGTCGCGGTAGTCGTCCCTGTCCATGACGTCGCGTGCTCGCGCGGCGCGGACTGAGACGGACTTCGTTGTCGCGCGGCGACTAAAGCGCGCGAGTCAGGCACCAGCAGAGACCAGACGCCTTGCAAGCTGTGCGCCCTCGCAGTTTTCTCGGGGCGACCTCCGCCGGCGCCACCTCCGCCCGCGCTGCCGCACGCTCGCGACCGCCCGAGGGTGTCATGTACAGATTGTTTAAGCGCCGTCGGATTGATCCGCCCGCGCGCGAAGCGCCGGGCGGCGACGTCGACGACAGCGCCCCGGGCGGCGGCGGCCCTGGCCTTGTTTCTATGGCGCTCTTTCAAAAACAGGAAGAACTGCTCAAAGCCACGAGGTCGGAGCTCGCGCAAACGAAGGAGCAGCTCGCTGCCGCGAAAGCGACGATCGCGGAGTACGCGGAGATGCACCCGACGTTCGATGTGAACGAAGATGTCGCGAGCGTCGTTTTCTCGCACGTGACGAACGTTCGAACGCGCGTCGCCCTCGCCCAGGTGAACACGGTGTGGAGGAAGGCTTCAAAAGTCGCGTCTTCGCTGCCGCCCTCGCTCGACTTCACGGGGTGTCCGCTCAGGTGGAACGAGCGGAGGACATGGTTTACGAAGGAGGCATACGTCCTCGGGTTCCAAGACGTGCTCGATCTGCCCGATGCGCACTTTCACGGCCTTCTCGCACAGGCGGGGGCTGACTTGACCACTCCGCTTAGGCAGTGCAACCTCGGCGTTTTCTACAAGGACGCGAAGCGGTACGACAAGGCGCTTGACTGGTACCACAGAGGAGCACGTCAGGGCTGCCCGACTTGTGAGCATAACATTGGGCATATCTATAGTGACGGCCACGGCGTGGAGCAAAACATCGACACGGCGCTGGAATGGTACACAAAGTCGGCCGAGAAGGGTCACGCCAGTGCACAAAACAACGTGGGCGGTGTCCACCGCAAGAAGGGGCAGCACGAGGAGGCGTTCAAGTGGTTCATGAAAGCGGCCAATCAAGGGGACATTTACGCAGAATACAACCTCGGAATATGCTACGAAAACGGCAATGGAGTGAAGAGAAACGTTCCCGAGGCGGTGAAATGGTTCACGAAGGCCGCGGAGAAGGGTCACCCGAGGGCGGCGGAAAACGCCCGCCGTTTGATCGACGCCATGGCGTGAACTTGACGACTTCGACTTCATCACGTTCGAATAACGACGAAAGACACGACGACGAGGCACTATCGATGCGCGTTCACAGCCGCGAGCAGCGCCTTCTTCGCCGCTTCCTCCCCCGGCTCCAACGGCGTGATGTCGTCCTCCAACAACTCGCTCCGCCGCCACACCGCCGCGTGTATCTCCCCCATCGGCGCCGTCTTCACCTCCTCCGCCTCCGCCGCGTCCCACGCGTCGTCGTCGTCGTCGTCGTCGTCGTCGTCGTCGTCGAGGCCCCCGCCCCACCGCGCGCGCCGCGGCATCCACGCCCAAGGATCGCCGTCGTCCCTCTCCGCTTCCTCCTCGCGGAGTCGCCACAGCGCCTCCGGGGACGGCCCCGCGCCCCACGAGTGCCCCGCGCTTCGCGTCGTCTCGTCCTCGACGTGCGCGCCGACGACGAGCCCGAACCCGCTCGCGGCGTGCGTCGCGACGTCCTCCACGGCGACGCGGATCGTCTCCGACCCCGCGCGCAGCAGCGCGCCGCGCGCGAGCACCGTCCGCGCGATCGCGGCGCGGCGACGCGACGACGCCGCGTTCGCTTTCGATCGATCCGACAGCGACGTCTTCGCGTCCGCGCGGCACAGCGTCGTCGCGACGCGCCGGCAGTCCCGCGCGTACCGCTCGCGCCACGCGCGCGAGGGGGAGATCCGAAGGTACGTCCCCGCGACGTCCGCGGCGGCGGCGTCGACGAACGCGCGCACGGCGCCGCGCGTGGACGTCCACGTCGCGTCCGCGGTGGGCGCCAGAGACGCGACGAGCGTTTTCACGCCGCGCGACAACGCGCGGCGCCACGTCGCGAGCTCCGTGGAGCACCCTCCGCCGCCGCCGGGGACGTGAGGGATGCGCTCCGGCTTGCGGTGGAAGCCCCAGCGCTGCGACGCCGCGCCCTCGAGCGCGAGGGAGAGCCCGCGCGACGCCGCGTGCACCGCGCGCGCTTCGGCGACGGCGGCGAGGCGCGTCAAGCGGCTCGCGAGACCGTCGACGTCGGTCGCGTCGTCGTCGTGTTCGCCGTCTTCCTCATCGTCTTCCTCGTCCTCGTCCTCGTCCTCGTCCTCGCTGCCGCCGCCGCCGCCGCCGCGCCCGCTCGCCCGCGCGCGCCGCCCGTCTCTCGCGTCCGCCAACGCTACCATGACGTCCCGCGCCGCGCACGCGGTGTTCCTCGCGACGACGCACGACTCGAACGTCAGCCGCGGCGGCGGCCGGCTTCCCGTCGTCGACGCGCTCCCGCGCGCGGC